GCGTTAGAAAGCCGGCGCGCTTCTGCCCCGGTCGACCCCCCTTCCTCGGCACCTGCCAGCCCAGGTGCTCTTCAGGGTGACTTCCTCCTGACAGGCTTAGGTGTCACCTGGTGAGGAGGAGCGCTGAGTTTACCTGGAGCAGTGGGACCTGTTGAACTGCTCCCCCCACCTCACCTTCCCACTCCATGGCCTTGGGAGCGGAGGGGAGCGTTTCCCAGGAGGGGAGCGTTTCCCAGCAGCAGAGCGCCCCAGGCAGGATACCCCAGTTAGTGCCCCGCTGCAGTGCAGTGGTGGGACGGCAGTGGTGTGTCCAGGGCTTGCTCTGGGAGCCCCGAAAGTCACAGGGGTGTCAGGGAGGACTCGCCAGGCCCCGAAGAGGGTGTTGGAGTTCGGCCTGCGTGGGGGCAGGATGGGAGAAGGTCCCTGCACCCACAGGACCTGCGAAGGAGGGTGCTGGGGGTGGTGGGAGTGAAGCGGGAAGGGGAGGGGCCAGTTGGCAGCGGGCCTGGCTCGAGTGGGGGGTGAGGGATTGGAGAGAAAGGCAGTTCCTGATGGTCTCCTCCCCAGGGGCTGGCTTTCCTCTGGTCCTTCCCTCCCAATGACCGCGTCTTCACTCTTCACTGAGGCCGCAGCCCTGGGTTACGCGCCCACACCTCTGGCAGCAAGCTGCCCGGAGACCTCTCGGCAGCCTTCCTCTGACCACGGAGCCCTTCTTGCCACCACCTTCTGGAGGGCTTGTCTGCCACCCACCTGGGCCAGCTAGGGTGGCAGGGTGCTGCAGCCGAGTTGGGGGGCTCTGCATCTGGCCTGTGAGCAGCGGTGGCCGGCGACCTCACCCAGTGCCGGTCATGCAGCCTGGGCTGGGCGTGGGGGGGATGGCAGGCATGCTGGCCTCCTTTGACGGCCCAGAGTAGTGTGTTCCTGGTGAGGCAGCCCTCTGTCCTGGAGGGGCCGGGGTCGGTGGGATCTCAGCAGGGCTTCTCCCGTTGACCTTGGCCAGCCTGGTTGCCACAGATGACACCTTGCCTGGAGCATCCTTGTGTCTGGGAGAGACCAGCCCCCTCAGGGTGGGGGACCTGTGTCTTCTGTGCTGGACTCTGGTCACGTGGCAGGTGCTGGGAGCCCCACCAGCTACACGAGACAGGTGGGATGACCCGGCCCTGTGAAGCCCAGGGTGCTTCCCATCACCCTGCACCGCGTTCTGGGTGGTTCTCATTCTCTGTGCCTAATCTGCTCCAACATTGTCTGCCAAGTTTTAAGTCGTACTTCCTGGGGCTTCTGTTTCTAAAGGGTCTTTCTGGTGCTGGGTGGACCCCTCGTTTTCTCTTTATCATGTCCTTTCCCTGCAGATATTCCTGAGCTCCTTTCTCCTGCACTCAGTGGCTGGTTTTTGGGACGTGTGGGGACTACTGCTGGTTCTTGCTGTGGTGCTTTGTTTTATGTGGTTCTTTCTATTGTACTGCTTTTTGTTCTTGAAATTATTTGTGAGACTTCTCGGAAGTGTGTGATGAAGAGGAAAACTTTGGTTTGCCTGGTGCCCAGGGGCACTGCCAGTGCAAGCACCCATCAGACCAAGTCCCTGGACCCCCGGTGTGGCCTAGCTCTGCACATGGAGCTTCTCATGGACCACCCCCACTTCTGTGCACCTCCCCTGCGGTCCTGGTGTGGCTGTGGATACAACCCCCCCACCCTAGGTCCCTGTCCTGGGGCGGCCCTGGGCCGTGTCTTCTGTCTCCCTCACCCCTGAGGCCACCAGAGCCCGGTTTGCCCCATGGGCCAGTGCCCTGAGGCTCTCTTTCCTCTCTGGGTTCCTGTGTTCTCTGAGATGTTGGCTAAATCCTGCACCACCTTGTCAGCTCTTGGTTGCTTTTAAGATTTTTCACCTTCTTTCAAGCGTTTGGAGTTGCTTTTACCAGGGAGGTTGGTCCCAACAGTCTGCCTACCAGTATTGGGCTCATCAGGCACTCCTGGGATGATGGCCACCAGTGGACACTACCAGGCCGCCCTGGCGGGAACCCAGCCTGTTCCCGTCACCTTGGGGAGCCCTTCTGCACAGGGCCCTTCGGCATCAGCACTGCATGTGGCCCAGCGTCCCTGGTGGGGGGCAGCGGCTGGCAGCCCATCTCACATGGTGCGTGTCCCCTAGCGCCCCGGGCTGCTGCAGATGGCGCTTGTCACCGCGGCAGCGCCTCAGCTGCACAGCCACAAAAATTGGTCCTCTGAGGCTGTCACCACATCTGTGCCTGGAGGAACACAGGGCTGAATCCTGGGGGTCCCTGCAGGGCCCGTGGGGGCTGACAGGGAAAATAGTGGGGTGAACCCTGACCCTGCCACCCGCGCCAGCCAGACCAGTGAGCACGAGTGAGAGGAGGGTGGGATGCCCAAAGGCCTTGTGCGCTGGGCAGCTACTGCATGGCTCTAAGCCACGGTTGTGTCTGTGGTGCTGGCCTTGGGCTCCGGCCCCTCCTCGGCTTCTCTTTGCATGGTGGCCAGAGCCACCACACCCGCCCACCCACCACGCGATGCTGGCATGGCTTTGAAGCCGGGGTCAGTGTGGTGGGAACATCCTCCTGTGAATCGCAAGGTGGGAAGTGTTCCGTTTCAGACCCCAGAACCAGAAGCAATTGCCAACAATCCAGGGCCAACGAGGTCACAGGCGTCAGGGGAATGTCTGACCAGTGCCCAGGAGCGTATTTACAGGGGTGGGCGAGTGTCAGGGCAGCCGACACACGGTCTCCTCGTCCAGCGAGGGTCTGGGTGTCGTGAGCCCGTTCCATTTGGGTAAGGGAGCTTTGCAGGTTTGGGAGGCAGTTCTGTCGTCTGCCATTTACTCAACTCATTTTTCCTTCTCCCGCAGACCTCGTTACCCCGTGTGAGCCAAGCCACCCCTTGGGGACCCATGTGCATCATCTTCTTTAAGTTCGATCCTCGCCCCGTTTCCAAAAATGCGTACAGGTAACCCCCTCGTGCTGCATCTGCTATCCTGCTCGGCCTTGGGAACACGCCATCCTCAGTGCCTGTTTGGGCTCCATGTGCGGGGTCGGGGGCAGAGGCCAGGCCCTGGGACACACTGCCCGGGCCCTGCCCTGCCCTCTCCCACAGTGGCCACTCAGTGTGGGCAGGGACCCTGAGTCGATGTGCAGAGATGCTAAGACTGAGCCGCTGAAGGTGGCCATGTGGGCAGGATGGGGGAATGACGTGGGTACAGCACAGCCCTGCACCTCTGACTGGGGATCAGGTGGCAACAGAACAGTGACAGGGAGCGAGACCTGGCTTGTGGGGCTCGAGCCTGTGGCCAGTGAGCAGTCTGGGTGGTGAGGGCAGAGTGCGGGGGGTGGGTCAGGGAAGCTGGGGGACCAGCTGGAGGAGTCAGGAGGCTGAGGCCAGGGAGGGGCCACACATGGTCTGGTTTCCTCTCCTCCCCATGACCCCTGGCTCTGGACGGCGCCCCTCCATTCCCCGGCAACCTGGTGGGAATCCACCGACATTTATCCACATGGAGAATGAGGCTGGGATGTGACCCTCAATCACAGATGAGGCACTAGTGCGACTGCTTAAGAAGTTTACATCATCTCAAGATCTGGAACATTTCAACTGGCTTCTGGGATTCCGTGCTACCTGATGTGTGGCTGAAGTAACTCATTCCAGGCTGGGAAATGGGGAGCAAGGGGTGCCCAGTGTCCCCTTCCTGCAGGGGAGTGGGCAGCAGGGCCATGCTGGGGGCCGGGAGTTGGCCCTGAACAGCCCCCGACAGAGCATGCCGTGTGAGTCGGGATCCAGCCAGGGGACAGAACCCCGGAGCAGTGATTCGAGCAGGGAATGTCTAACTCGTGGAAATATAAACTGTTGTGGGATCAGGGTGCCCGAGGCAAAGCCTGTCCTTCATCCTTGGGCTGAGACCCAGACCTTGCTGGGGGCACAGCCATGGCATACTGGGCGGCCGGGAGCTCTCTGGGCACTTGCTGGAAGTCTGCCCGCTCTGCTCGTGCTGGCTGCTGTCGGGCGCTTGTTGCTGGGGAAGCCGCACCCAGAGCCTGGGAGAGAAGCCTCTCCCCCTGCAGCGTCCCTCCAGCGCCCTCTGCTGACAGAACTGGACCCGCAGCCACTGCAGAGCCCCCGGGAAGGGCGGGAGTGGGGCTGAGGCAACAGGTGGATGGATCACTGGCGCTGTCGCCTCCTGCGCTGAGAGTGGCACTCCTTCCTCCTGACAAGTGAGGACACGCGGCCTGATGGCCACCGAGTCCATGGCTGCCTTGGTTCTTACTCACGGATTCAGCCAAGCCCTGAGGTCACCCCTGTTCTCCTGGGAGTGAGAAGGAACGGAAGGGACGGGGAGGGGAGCCTGCGTCCTGCCACGACCTGCCTCTGACAGCTCCAGGGCTGGGACTCGGTCTCAGCATTGATCTCAAATGTTGTCCTAGCCTGATGGCGTTGGAGGTTGAGAGGGGCTTCTGGCTCCGGGGTGGGCAGCTCTCACATGTGATGTGGGACTAGGATGGGAGGAGTGGGGGTGGGGCTGCTGTGGGAGGGACACTGCAGCAGGGCCGTGAGGAGAGCCTGGTGAGCTGACCCTGGGCCCATCGGAGACCAAGGAGGGGCCCCCAGCTCCTGGAGTCGGGGGGGCAGGCTCAGAGCCAGGAGGCCTGGATGTCCTCACCTGGGCTCCCTCCCACCTAAGCTGTCACTGCCCTGGCTGGCAATGCAGCAGCTTCTGCCCCCACCCCAGTGCCCATCACTGAGTTCACTGCCGGCCCCCCACCCAGTGATGTCAGGAGAAGATTTGTACTTTGTGTGTGTGTGTGTTTGTGGTTAAGTATACATGACATAAATTTACCTTTTTTTTTTTTTTTTTTTTTGCCGTACGCGGGCCTCTCACTGCTGTGGCTTCTCCCGTTGCGGAGCACAGGCTCCGGACGTGCAGGCTCAGCGGCCACGGCTCACGGGCCCAGCTGCTCCGCGGCACATGGGATCTTCCCAGACTGGGGCACGAACCCGTGTCCCCTGCATCGGCAGGCAGACTCTCAACCACTGTGCCACCAGGGAAGCCCAAATTTACCATTTTTAATCGCAGGGCTCAGCGGCATTAAGCATTCACACTGTCATGTAACCGTCACCAGAACTTTCTCATCTTCCCAAACTGACACTCTGTCCTCAACAAACACTGACTCCCCATCCCCCTCCCCAGCCCCTGGCACCCACCCTCCTTCTTTTTGTCTCTATGACCTTGGCTCTTCTAAGTCCCTCATGGAAGTAGCATCATATGTTTTCTTTTTGTGTCTGGCTTTTTTTCACTCAACATAATGTCCTCAAGGTTCATCCACATTGTAACATGTGTCAGGATTTCCTTCCTTTTTAAGGCTGGATAATGTTCCTTTGCGTGGATGGACTACATTTTGCGTCTGCGTCCATCCTGTCAGCGGACACCTGTACTGTTCCTGCTTCTCGGCTGCTGTGGACATTAGTGTACAAGTACCTGTCCCAGCCCTCCTTTCAGTCCTTTTGGGTATATACCCAGAATCAGAAAATCCTGGATCACACGGATCCGCCAAGTTGATTTCCTCGTGTGTCTTCTGATGGCTGTGCCAGAGGCTCCCTGCAGCGTTGGTCCGTGTCCTCATGTTGGGTGGTGGAGTGGGTCTTTGTGGCGCTTCGTCGTCATGCATCATTGAGACTAGGTCCTCTCCCTACAGCCGGAAAGGCCCAGACCCAGGGCCGCCGTCCATTTGGACACCGCTGCCCACAAAGCCTGTCCGGGGCCTGGGACCCACACAGTCCCCTGCTCCGGCACCTTCGACATCACACCTGTTTTCACCTGTGTTTGTGAGCTAAGGTCACCCGTGTCAGTAATGCTCCAGGGTCAGCTGATTGCAGAGGACTCTTCCATCTGGGTCTGTGGCCATCCCTGCCGTGTGTAAGCATTGATCTACACAGATCACCTCTGCCCTGAAGGACAGAGTGGGACATCCTCACTCTGATGCTGTGGGCGGTGCTGCTCCTGGCTTTGTCCTTTCCAGTCTCACGGGAACCTGTTTTCTGGCCTCCCTAGAATTAGTTCCTGAAAGATGAGGCCAGCCCCACTGTGCCTGTGGGGTTCTTGAAGCCTCTCTCCCCTCCTTGGGCTGCAGCCGATTTAGAGCGTGTGTCCTGTGGGCTATCCAGCCAAGTGCCTTCGTGGGTGTGGGAAGGGAGGGGAGACAGCCCAGTGCGGCCGGGAGTACATGTGAACTGCCTCTGCAGAGCAGCTCCAGGCCTGATGTTGGGCTGGGCCGTGACTGTCATGGACCCCTCGTCTGCACCCCACCCCCATGTCACCAGCCCACTGCCCTCCATATTGGAGCGCCCATCCCTCCAGACATGGCAGCCCTCCCCCATCATATCCCACTGCCATGTCCTCCCAGACACTGCCCAGCATGATCCCCCAGGCGCCCTTGTGTTTGAACTGCCTTCCAGGCTGCATACCTGCCCACCCACAGGTGCTGCGCCCTCCTGGGGTCGCCCCTAGGGGGTCCCGGCCTCTGCACCGCACCCCCCATCATGCCTGAGGTTGCCCAGCACTTGGAACCTCCATATTTTGCCGATGCGATGAAAGTTCCAAATCAGGGGACCCCGAGTTCATGGGATGGGGATGTCCTGGGTGGGCCTGATCTCATCGGGGTGGCCCGCAGAGGGACCAGCCCCTCCTCAGGGAGTAAGCTGCTGCCCTTGGAGGGGCCCGTGGCCAGAGCTTGAGGGCGGCCTCCAGGAGGCGAGTGACCTCGGCGCACGGCAGGCGAGACCAGGGCCCCCAGTCACATGGCTTCAAGGAACTGACCCCTGCAACAGCGGAGACCCTGCCGACCAGCACCTGTGTCACCCCGGGGCTGAGCACCTGGCCAAGATGATGGGTGGGCGTTGCTTTAAGCTGCCGCATTTGTGTAGATGTTTGGCTGCATAGAAGACCAGCATACTCCCGTCAGTATGGTGCTGTCATGGCTGTCACGTCACCACCCTCTTTGTCAAAATGTCATTTAGACCCACAGGTTGATGCTTTTACTGGTTCCACCTGGAGGGACTGCTGGGCCAGCTCTTGCCCTTTGGGGTGGCTTCCATGGAGGTCGTCACTACTGGACACTTCACTGGACCCTGGCCTGTGCACCCGTCACTGCTGCCAAACTTCCCCCGGCGGTGTGCAGATCCCTCCCCTGACTGTGCCCAGACCCACCCCTCAAATGGTGACAGACCCTTTCCATGACTGTGCTGAGTGGGACTCGGAAGTGAGGAGTGAGGGGCTTCCTCTCGCTTGGAGCCTCCACGTGGTACCATCATGCCCACCAGCAGTTCGGCTAAACAGTGACTCTGATGAAAGCAACCCAGCGCTTCAGGCTCCTAGCGATTAGCAAACATCTCGCTTCTTGTCTACGAATGGGCAGTTGGAGTAAAAGGACAGAGGCACTGCTCTTTCGCTTTGTTCTTTTCCCTAAGTTTTCCTTTCTGGAGTCTTCACAAGAATGGGAACCAGAAGCCACGGCACTGGCCTGGTTCGGGCTCAGCCTCCCGTCCCCTGCGACTGCAGGGGTCAGGCGAGCGGGCAGGTGAGGGGCGCTGGGCACCTGAAGGAGGACGCTTGATCCTGGCACAGGAGCCACTGCACCCTCTGGGGGGCCCAGGCCCCGCAGCCAAGTCTCCCCATGCGGGGAGGGGGGGCATTGCGCTGTCCTTCTCCTGACTGCTGCTTAGCCAGCTTCTGCCAGGATGGGTCCCGGACTGGGTCCCAGGGGGACAGGGCAGACGTGGCAAGGGGCAGGGGATGGGGTCCAGGTCAGGGCCTGGCAGCTGGAGCTGCAGAGGATCCTTCTGTGAGCGGCTGCAGCTTGTGTCAGGGACAGTGAACCCCCCCGCCCCCTGCACCTGAACCTGGCGCAGCCCTAGAGCCAGCTGTGTGGAGGGAGAGCCAGGTCACAGGCTAGACAGGCATCCTGAGGGTGGTGAGGCTTCCAGGGTGGTCCCTGGCAGTGCCAGCGCCTGTGGCCAAGGTGGCGTGGGAGGCACAAGTGGGGGGTGACGTGCACACAGGTGAGAGACTTCCAGGGCCCTGGGGTGCCAGCACTGGTTTTGCCTTCAATTTTGTGAGTGTCTTTGTTAATTCACATTTTACCACAAGCCGATATTCATGAAATCAATGAGTCGATGCAAACAGTACTTCTGAAGACTTCTGAGGATTTAACCCCTGACTCAGCGAACTTGGTTTCAGACCCACTGTGGCCCCAGGTGCTGTGCCCACCTGCGGTGCTTGGAGGGTCCTTCGGTGGCCACTCTTAGACCCCGGGGTCTTCGGGACCCTGTGGGGTGACCCTGCCCACTCAGTCGCCGTCTGTGTTCATAGTTATTTTAAATGGCAAAGCTGACCGAAAACTTTGTTTTCTTACCTCAAAACCAGGGCCCTGAAAACATCGATGTCTTTGCTAATGGCCAGAGAAATACTTATTTGATTCATAATACAAAACACTAGTGAAACACAGAAAAGTCCTCACTCGCTCCCTCCCAAAGACACCCCAAAGCGCGGGATGGAGCAGCCCTCGGAGTCCCTGAGCGCTGGTGGGAGGCTTACAGGGTGTCCTCAGGGGAGGGACCAAAGGGCAGGAAGACACACCCGCCCAGCCAGCATGGCGGAGCGGGCAGGGCTGAGCCGGCAGCTGCCCATCTCCTCCTCCCAGTGGGTTCCCATCCTCTCTGGGACTTGCCCAGGTTGCTGCCTACCAAGGTGCTTTGTCTTGGTAACGAGAGGAAACACGTGACTCTTCCACATTCACGCGAGACCCTCAGCCGTGCTCTCTCCTCAGGCTCATCCTGGCCGCCAACAGGGATGAGTTCTACCACCGGCCTTCCAGGGCTGCAGACTTCTGGGGGAACAACAACGAGGTCCTCAGTGGTGAGTGTCCCCGCTGTCCACCCAGCACTGTCCACTCAGCTTCACGTGCCCGGATCCCCGGGGGAAGCAGCTGGAAGGTGGGGGTTGTATTTGGATCCACCATCCGCTGCGGTTGGTCTCGTGTGAGGCATGATTTCAGACCGGTCACCTCGGAGCATCATGGTTATGCGTGCACGCATGTGTGTGTACATGCATGTGTATGTGCATGTGATCCTGTTAGACACATGCACCCCTTGCCCCAGGGAGAGTGGCCTGAGTTTGGGGGGCAGAGGCCCGGCTGGCAGGGCTGGGGGAGCCAATGAGGAGCCCATGGGGTGGAGTGGAGGTGACCGCACCCTGCCTGCCCTGCCGGTGGCTTCCGCGGGCCCCTTGGAGGGAGCAGCTCCTATTCCTGCAGGCAGGGGCCACTCGGAGGACGTGCAGACAGGTGTCGGCCGGGCCAAGGACCCTCTGCCTGCGGAGCCTGGAAGCTCGTCTGGAGCATCCACGAAGGCCTCCAGTGTGGACTGGGGTCGGGCAGTGGTGCTGCATGGGAGGAGGATGGGAGTGGGGAGACCAAAGTGGGGGTCTGAAAGGAGGTGGGGAGAGCTGTGAGTGGGGCCCTCAGGGTGGGAGTGCAGGAGGGTGGGAGTGCAGGAGGATGAGGCTGGGTCTCGGCCTCACCAGAAGCTGCTCAGGAGACCTTGGATACCTGCTTGCTCGGGAGTGCGGGGTGGGGCTGGCGGGGAGGCCCCCGCTGCCTGAGCTCTGGGCACAGCGGTCATGTGTGTGGGGACTTCAGCCAGGCTGGCCATGGCTCCCCCAGAGGTCCAGTGGCAGGCCTGCTGGGCCACGGGAGGGGGTCCGAGGGGAGCCTGTGGGCATGGCCAGGACCATCCTGGGCTAGGACGGAACAAAGGGATCGTGGGGAGAGGGCAGGCCGTGTGTGTCACTGCTGCAGGGCACGCATGGGAGGCTGAAGTGGGGGCTGCTCAGGATGGGTGAGGTGAAGGGTGAGGAGCTGATCCTTCGGGAGGGAGGCAGGAGGCACTGCTGGGGCACTTTGTCGATGAAGACATGGAGGCTCAGACGAAGGGTGAGCCTGCCTGGGCCCCTTGGCCGTCCTGGCCCCTGGGCTCCGCGCTTCCTGCCCTGGTCAGTGCCCATCCCGCTGGGGAGCCCCAGCCACTCAAGTCCTTCACCCTTTGCAGTGGTTTGGAGGCGGCCCCTGGCACGTTGCTACGCGTCCTGCCAAGCGGGAGGGTGGCCCTGCTGCACCGCAGTGCTGGGTGGGCCCGTGGCCACCACGCCCGGCTCAGGCCTGGGAGACCCCAAGGTCCACCCCCTCCCTCTGTCTGGCGTCGCCCAGCGTGCACAGAATTGTAGCAGCAGCGTCAGCATTGCTGGGGACTTGTTAGGCGTTCAGGAACCTCTGGGTTCTGTTTCTTCAAGTCCTCCGTCTCCTGCTGTCTCTCCTCAGCCCCCCAGTCACACGTGTGTCAGTTTATCTGAAGTGGTCAGTGCCCTTCGGTTATGCTTGGTTCACTTAAAAGCCCTCTGTTGTCCCTGCTCCTTTTTAGGTGGTTTCTATCGCCATATCCTTTACTCATGTTCACTAACCTTTTCTTCCTTAGTGTCTAATCTGCTTTTAATCCCATTCTGCATATTTTTCATCTCACACACTGTAGTTTTTATCTCCAGAAATTCCACCGTGGTATCTTCCTTGTCTGGACTGTGTTGTTTGGCCAGATCTGGAGGCTTCATTCACTTTCTAGTTGTTGGTTTGTCAGAGGCCTCTGTGCTCTGGATGTGGATCCTTTGCTGGATAATTGTGTCACTGTCTCATTTTCTTCATGATGTCCTTTGGTGAGCAGAATATTTTATTTTAATGAAGTGCTGTTTATCTTCTGTTTTGTGACTTGTTCTTTTTGTGTCTTACCCACAAAGTCTTTGCCTGTCATGAGGTCGTAAAGATATTTTCCTCTGTGTGCTTCTGGAAGCCTCCTGATTTGGGTTTATGCTTAGGTCTGTGATGTGTCTCAAATTAAACTTTGCGTGCGGTGCAAAGCAGGGACTGAGCCACGCCCACCTCTCCGGCTGTCCCCACAGCACCGACCAGTGGGCCTCCTCTGGCCTGTGCATGACTACGGCAAACTGACTGAAAGTCAGTTGATCACATCCGTGTGGGGCCGTTGTGGACTCTTGTGTCCCACTGACATGGCTCGGGTGCTGCAGCCTCTGAGCAAGTCTGGGAACCAGCTGAGGTGAGCCCTGTGGCTTTGCTGCTTGTTGGGACTTCTGTGGACGTCCTGAACTTCAGGGCCAGCTTATGAATTTCTATAAACACCAGCCCACAGGGTCTTCACTGGGATCATGGTCACCCTCTTGGTCATTTGGGGAGAACTGTCATCCTTTTTTTGTTTTATTATTTTTTTATTGAAGTACAATTGATTTACAAGGTTGTCTTAATTTCTGCTGTTCAGCACAGTGATTCAGTTATACATACATATGTGTATATTCTTTTCCATTATGGTTCATTATAGGATACTGAATATAGTTCCCTGTGCTGTACGGTAGGACCTTGTTGTTTATCCATCCTATATGTAATAGTTTGTATCTGCTAATCCCAAACTCCCACTCCATCCCTCCCCTCCCCCCCCCTTGGCATCCACAAGTCTGTTCTCTATGTCTATGAGTCTGTTTCATAGATATGTTCATTTGTGTCATATTTCAGATGACACATACAAGTGATATCATATTATATTTGTCTTTCTCTTTCTGACTTATTTTACTTAGTACGATAATTTCCATCCATGTTGCTGCAAATGACATTATTTTGTTTTTTTATAGCTGAGTAATATTCCATTGTATATATGTACTACATCTTCTTTATCCATTCATCTGTCAGTGGACATTTAGGTTGTTTCTATGTCGTGGCCATTGTGAATAGTGCTGCTATGAACATTGGGGTGCATGTATCTTTTCGAATTAGTTTTCTCTGGGTATACGCCTAGGAGTGTGATTGCAGGATCATATGGTAGCTCTATTTTTAGTTTTTTCAGGAACCTCCATACTGTTCTTCACGGTGGCTTCACCAATTTACATTCCCACCAACAGTGTAGGAGGCTCCCTTTTCTCCATACTCTGGGAGAACTGTCCTCTTAACCATGTGAGCTTCCCGGGCAAGGAACAAGACTCCTCCTTTAACTAGGTCTGCCTGACGTCCATCCCTCAGCACACACGTCTTTCCTGTAACGTTTTCCTAAGTGTTTTGAAAATCTTTCAGTGCTGTTGTAAATGATTAATTGAATTTTCATTTTCCAGTTCGTGCCAAGTATTCACTTACTCCAGTAGGTTTTTTTTGTAGATCCTTTTGGATCTTCTTCACATATGATCCTATCTTGTACAAATAAGGACAGTTTTGCTTCTTTCAGATCTTTGCAGCTTTTAGTTCTTCTACTATTATAACTTATTACTGTTATAATAATAATATGTTAATGATTTAGCTATTTTCACTCCAGTTGTCAAGTGAAATGCCCCTCTGGCCTGGGAAGACACTCTCCTGGGGCTGTAGTGGCCTTGCTGGCCCTGTGGCAGGGCCCACGGTTATGAAGGGTTGCAGCCTGCGGGGCTCCTAGTGAAGGGCCCGCCGAGGGCTGGGTCCTGCCTAGGGAGGACAGCCAGTGTCCCTATACCTAATCGGGATGCGGGGCTGGGGCCTGGCGCAATTTCTGCGATGGAGCTGGTGCTGTGCCCCCAGCCTGATGCCCACCCAGGCACCAGGATGTGTTGTGCAGGGGCCGGGGGTTCCCAGGGGCATCAGGTGTTGTCCCGGGCGAGGGTCTCTCCCACATACCCATGGTCCCCAGGGGCTGCCTCAGACTGCTGTGTTCCAGCCCCCGTTTCACCACAAGGGCTGCTGGGCTGGTGGTGACACTGTTGTTGCTGCAGGGCTGGACATGGAGGAAGGCAAGGAAGGCGGCACGTGGCTGGGCATCAACACGCGGGGCAAGCTGGCGGCACTTACCAACTACCTGCAGCCACGGCTGGACCGGGACGCCCGGGGCCGAGGTACGGGGCGGGGGGCAGGGCTTCCTGGGCACCTGGAGGGACGGGAGGAGTGACGAAAGGAGGGGCCCTGAAGCCCCCTGGCTGGCAATGCCGGGAGCCACCCTCGGCCTGGCCATATGGCTCCCACTTGTGGCCATGGCATGGCTCCCGACTGCCGTGTTGTCACTGCCCATCTGGTGGACATATACTGTCCCCACTGAAGACGTTTCCCCTCGTGCTGGACTTCCACATCGGGGCACAACAGGAAAAAGTTTCAAAATCAGAGTTCTTGGTGCCGACCTCCTTAGCTGCCGGGTCGCTGAGGTGTGGCCGTCCCGTGGGGGACCGTCAGTCTCCCCAGGAGAGGGGCTCAGTCCTACCGCCCCGGCCATGGGCGTGTGTCCCCTGACGCAGGTGAACTCGTGGCTCAGTTTCTGACCTCAGACGTGGATAGCTTGTCCTACCTGAAGAAGGTCTCCGCAGAGGGCCACCTGTACAACGGCTTCAACCTCATAGCGGCCGACCTAAGGTGGGTCTACCGGCTGGGGACGCAGCCCCCAGGCGCCGCACAGGGCTGGGTTGCAGGCTTGGCAGGCAGCGGGAGCCGGGGCATCTGTGGCAGCCTCTCTGGGGATATTACACCTGGTGGGCTCAGGGAGCGTCCTGAGGGCCGAGCCCCTCCCAGATCCACTGTCCTGGGGACTCAGGGATCCAAGCTGGGGCAGTGTGAGGGCCGCCAGCTCCTGCTGTGGGAGCTGGAGTAGGGCCGGGGGTGCACACGGGCCAGATCGGCCCCTCCGTCTCGTCTCCTCCCCACTTCTGTGGCTGAGGAGCCCGTTTTTGAGCCATACCTCACTTGCCCTGTGGTCTGGTGGCAGAGGTGCCCCGGTGGAGAAGGCGGTGCAGGCACAGCTGGGTACAGAGACCCCGGGCCCCATGGTTGTCGGGCACTGCCAAGTGCTGGGCAGAGTGGGTGGCAAGGCTCACGTCGGGTTCTGCAAGGGGCTCAGCAGACGGCTCCTGGGGCAATGACACTGTCCATGCCACCCATGGGCCCTGTCGCCAGAGGATATGGTGGCCGGGAGCTTTCTCCACCCGGGGTGGGGCAGACCAGCTGGGAGCAGGGCAGGAGCAGGGGCAGAGGGGCCTGTCCTAGAGGCGGGAGGAGCAGGTCGCCCAGGGAGGTGCAGGCCCTCGAGTCTAGGGCGCCTGCGCTGGCTGTGAGATTCAGGAGTCAGGTTGCTGGGGCTCTGCAGGAGGCTGGGGCCACGTGGGGAAGTGGCAGTTGGGGTGTGGCCAGGCCCATGTTGGCACACACAGAGATGCTGGGCAGGGTGGGGGGCAGATAGCTCAGCAACAGCGGTGCCTGCACGGATGGTGCCACCCGAATGCTGGGGCCCGGGCTGTGGGGTTTGCCAGGCGGCGAGGGTTGGGGACGCCCTGTGGCTCCTGTCTGACCCTGTCTCCCCTCTGGTCTGCAGCACAGAGAAGGGAGATGTCATTTGCTACTATGGAAACCGGGGGGAGCGTGAGCCTGTTGCCCTGGCACCAGGTGAGGCTGCTCTGGCGGGTGGCACAGGGTGGGGCTGCTCCTGTGGGGACCCCAGTACTTTCAGGAACCGGGTCCCTGCTGATTTCCCTCCTGGTGCTGTTTTTCGGCCGTTCGTGTACCTTGTGCCCAGTAGTGGCCATGGCCTCACCCGGTCCACATGAGGCTGCACACAGGTTAGGTTGCCTTCCCCCTGTACCGAGTCCCTGGCTGTCTGGAGAGAATTGGAAGCTAAAAGGCACAAAAGGACGCAGAGACCTTCCCCCGCAATTCTGTGGCCTTTGTGGAAGCATCTGGAAACCACACCATGATGCCCTCAACTGTGACTAGAGATGCTTCTTTTCTGCTAAATTGCTGCTTAGAAGGAATTCTTTTGAACTCCGTCCTATTTCATCCCTGAGCCAGCCGCGCCTGATCCATGTCCCTTAAAAAAATAAACAACAGCTCCATTGAGACATAACCGCATGTCATACAGTTCACTCATTAGAGTGTGCCTTCAGTTGTTTTTACTCTATCTACAAAGTGGTGCAACCATCACCAGAAGCTAACTCCAGAACATTTTCATCACCTCACCAAGAAACCACACCCACTGGCCCTGTCCCCGGCCCCTAGCAACCACTAGTCTCCTTTCTGTCTCTGTGGATTTGCCCATCCTGCACGTTTTACATAAACAGATGCAGACAATATGTGGCCTCTTGTGTCTGGTTTCTTTCCCTTTGTGTAATGTTTTCAAGGTTCATCCATGCTGTAGCGTGAGTGAGGGCTCCATTCCTTTTTATGGCTGAATAATATTCCATCGTGTGGATTTTCTGCCTTTTGTTTATCCATCATCCACTGAAGGACACTTGGTTGTATCCACCTTTTGGCTATTGTGGAAAATGCTGCTGTGAACGTTTGTTATATGTTTTTGTGGGGAAACGTTTTCATTTCTCTTGTGTGTGGACCTAGGAGTGGAGTTGCTGGATCATAAGGTAACTATTTAACCTTTTGAGGAATTGCCAGACTGTTTTCCGAAGCAGCTGTGCCATTTTATATTCCCAGCAGCAACTTATGAGGTTCCAGTCTCTCCCCACCCTCGCCAAGACTTGTTACTGTCTGACTTTTTGATCGCAGCTGTTCTGGGGTATGATGCAGTCTCACTGTGGCCTTGATTTGCATTTCCCTGATGGTTAATGACGTTGAGCAGCTTTTCATGTGCTTGTTGGTCATTTGTGTATCTTGTTTGGAGAAATGTCTGTTCAAGTCCTATGCTTGTTTTTAAATTGGGTTGTGTTTTTGTTATTGAATTGTAAGAATTGTTTTATATATTCTAAATACAAGTCTCTCATCAGTTACATGATTTGCAAATATTTTCTCCCATCCTGTGGGTTTTTCCCCTTTCTCGTTGGTCTCTTTTGAAGTACATCATTTTAAATTTTGATGAAGTCCAGTTTTATGGGGGTTTTTTGTTGTTGCTCATGCTTTTGGTGTCACATCTAGGAAGTCATTTCCTAATCTAAGGTTGTGTAGCTTTTCCCCTATTTGGTTTTAGCTCTCATGTTCAGGTCTTTGAGACGTTTTCAATGGACTCTTGTGTGTGGTGCGCAGTGGGGGTCCTGCTCTGTTCTTTGCATGTGGCTGCCAGGTGCCTGATGGATACAGTGCGGTGATGCCGTGGCTGGCGGTGTGACTATGGGCCCCACAGTGCCAAGTGGCAGTAGTCGTGTCAGAGTTGGCCCAGAGTCCGGTAGCAGCAGAGGGTGGTGGCTCTCTGTCTTTGGTGCATCTTTTCAGGCCGCATGGCTCTGGGTTGGCTGCCCCTGCTGCCTCTTTCGAGAAGAGGCTCTGGGGGCCTTTCCACCTTGAGACTGGGCCTCTTCTTGAGAACTTGTCCTGAGAAACTTGCTCTAAGCCCCTACAGCGCCCCCAGCCAGGGACGTGGCCTACGCCTCGGGCCTGCCAAGGTCAGTGGGCTCCCTGACCCCGGCTGACCCTGGTGGGCCGCCTCCTGGCCTCAGGCTGTGGTGCTCCCAGCCTTGACCTTCTCAGGTGGACCCCCACGTCGGGCTCCCCCACTTATGGACGGACCTTCCTCTGCTGTTGATTCCGATCACCCACCCCCAAGGCCTGGCGAGTTCCTGGACGCATGTAGAGAAGGGGCGGGTGGGTGGAGTTCCAGCCACAGTCCCCCCCACCTCCCACGCTGGCCTGGCCGAGCCAACCCCTCCTGCAGGGACCTACGGGCTAAGCAACGCGCTGCTGGAGACGCCCTGGAGGAAGCTGTGCTTCGGAAAGCGGCTCTTCCTGGAGGCCGTGGAGCGGGGCCAGGCGCTCCCCAAGGACGCCCTGGCCGCCCAGCTTCTGGACGTGCTCAACAACGAAGAGGCGTGAGTGCTGTGCCACACACACACACACACACACACACACACACACACACACACCCACCCCCCCCCCCCCCCCCCCCCAGCTCTGAGAGGCGGCTACTGTCCTTCCACAGGGCCTGCACGGCTCTGACCGGACAGAGCCCATGAGCTCGTGTCCCTGGGCCTTGGGAAGCTCCTGGTGGCCCCAGCACAGGGACTGGCCCCCACAATGGAGCCCTGAGTGAAAGGCTAGATGGAGGTTCGAGGCCTTGACCTGGAAAGTGCCCGGAACGACCCCTGTGGTTCCCCCAGCCCCTCTCTGAGGCTGGTGGGCTCCTCAGGCGCTGCAGGGCTGTGGCTGAGCGTCGGCGGGGATAGGTTTGGGGCGGCCAGTGGTGACCCCTCCTCTGTCCTTCAGGCAGCTGCCAGACCCAGCCATTGAGGACCAGGGCAGGGAGTACGTGCAGCCCATACTTAGCAAGTACGCAGCTGTGTGTGTGCGCTGCCCGGACTACGGCACCAGGTATGACGGATGGGCTGCTGGTGCGCCCTCCTGTCCCTGGAGGAGCCCACCTTCCCCAGCTCCTCCCCACGTCCACCCTGTCTAGAAGCCACTGCAGGTGTCTGGGCAGTCCCCGGTGGTGGTGCTGGGAGCCCTGGGGGTTCTGAGCAGGGAAGTGCCTGATCAGCCCAGGGCCTACCCTGCTGAGAGTGGTGGGCGATCAGGGCTCGTGCTGCAGAGGGTGGGCAGGGCGGCCTGGGGGTGTTTCGGAGGGGAGGTGATAGGACTTGTGGGCAGGGGCCTGCAGGACCTGTGGCTCAAGGCCCTGATGCCTCACAGGGGACCCTTTGCTCGCCGAGACAGAGGCTGCTGCTCTTTGTGACCCATCTCGAGCCAGGCCAGTGCCCAGCAAGGCCCCTCGCACCTCTGGTCTGATCCATTTGGGGCTCTGACTGGCGTGCAGGGGTCCAGGGGCAGCGGGCTGAACACAGGCCCCATGCTCTCTTTCAGAACCAACACGGTCATCCTTGTGGATGCAGATGGGCACGTGACCTTCACAGAGCGAAGCATGCTGGGCACGGACCCCTCTTGCTGGGAGACCAGCACCCACGAGTTCAGGCTGCAGAGCTAACCCCCACCCGGGTGTGGCCGGGGCTTCCGGGAGGCCCTGTCACAGGTACTGCCTGTGACTCGGCCAGCGTCACCCAGGGCCAGAGCCCTCTGATGTGTGTGAACTGTTTGCATCCCCATGTCAAGCTCGGGGTCCAGCCTCATGACAGAGGCCCATGGCCAGGTGTGCGGCAGGCCCAGGTGTGCTGTGCCTCCCCCGGCCCATGCACAGAAGCTCACACAAGGCACACGTGACACCCATCATGCATGCGCGCACACGTTACAGGCAGTAGATGTGTGCACACATGCTCAGACACGCACACGCTCCAGGCATGCACCCCCCATGCGAGCCAGACACGCAGAGCTGTGCCTCTCAACACCCACACGTGCTTCTGGCCAGTGAGTCTTGCTGTGATCCCGACAACAAGAGTGGATGTCTGTTTCAAAGCGGCCCCTCCTCTCCTGGGCCTAGCCAGTTCCTGACCACCAGCCCTGCTCTTGGAGAGGACACAGGCCACATTTGAATGAGGAAAACCTCCTCCATAGCAGAGGCACAGGCTGCTGGGTGGGTCCGGTGGTTCTGTGGGTGCTGAGGGGTCCTGTGCGTGGAGCTATCCTGTGAGGGAGCATCCATGTGCAATGGGCCGCCTCGGCAGGCTCTCAGGCCTCCACCTGTGCAGGGGGGTCATGGGTTCCGGGCAGGCCCATCTCAGGGAGGGGACACAGTTGCCCCTGCCATTTCCCTTCTCCTAGGGAGTTAAACTTCATAATAAGACTCTGTACTTGAATGTGAGATGCTGATAATAAAACTGAGGCCGTGGTGAGCCAGTGCATTCCAGGCCCTTGACTCTGTGACAGGATGACCAGAGCTGCTGTGCGGGAGCCCCCAGGAGCTCCTGGGGCCCAGACCTCGGTGCAGGGCTCTTCCACATTTCCCTTTTGTTCATGGCCTCCTGAGCACTGTGGCGGAAGCCAGGAGTTCATCCGGGTGCAGGTGGGAGCCCCGGGGAGCCGTGCACACGGGCTGGACCGTGGAGGCCAGGGGATGGCAGGAAGGGCTGGGCTTCAGGTAACAGAGCAGGTGGAGTCTGTCCTACCCCAGGGCCCTTGTTTTGGGCAAGCACCTGGAGCTCCTGTCCCCAGCTGGGGCCGGGCATTCGGGGGTCCTGTGTCCAGTGCTGACACTCAGGCTTCCCTCCGCCTCGGCGGTCGACCCAACTTGGCCTTCTCAGTGCAGTGACAGCTCGGGTGGGCTGTAGACCTTGACTGGGCCCAACCTGCCTCTCCGTCCCTTCTCCCTTCCTGCTCACCACCCCACAGCCAGGCATGAAGGGGCTCCCAGTATGATGCAGCCTGTGCCCCCCACCCACGTGTCCAGCTGAGCCATGGCTAGCCAGGCTCCCAGCTCCAGCACTGCCAACACCCTCTGTCTGCTTCAGCAGGCCACCCCGCACCATGGAATGGACCAGGTCCCCACATCAGCGCCTGCCCTGGCCAGGCAGGTCTGCCCTCGTGGGGCGCCGCTGGACTGGGTACAAAGCCATCTGAAGAGCCTTTCAGATGTTTGCCGCTGCCCCAGGGACGGGCCTGCACAGGAAAAGCTTCCCCACACTTGTCATGGTCCCCTCTGCCCCTGCCTGCCCTGGGCTCCCTAGCAGCTTGGAGCCCCTGAGGAAGGGGCAGCCCAAGACTTGTTTCTATTGTTATGGGCTGAGTTGTGTGCCCTCCAAAGGATATGTTGGACCCCAGCAACCAATACCTCAGAATGTGATCTTGTTAGGGTCTTTCCTGAGGTAATCAATAAAATGGGATCGTTAGGGTGGCCCTAATCCAATATGAGTGGTGTCCTTATAAAAAGGGGGAAACGTGGACACAGGGACAGACAGGCACCCAGGCAGACGTCTGTGAAGACTGGAGCTGGGCTGCCTCACGCCAAGGAACCCCAGAAGCTGGGAGAGAGGCCGGGGCACGTCCTCCCCTGGAGCCCTCAGAGGGAGCAGGGCCCTGTGACACCCTGCTCTCAGACGTCCAGCCTCCAGAACTGTGAGAATAAATTTCTGTTGTTTAAGCCCCTCACTTGTCGTACTTTGTTATGGCAGCCCAAGCAAGATTAAAAAATTGTGACCTTGCTTTACACACAAGGAAGCTGAGGCTTGGGGAGACACAGTAACAGCCCCTCAGTCCCCAGGTGGGTGGGGAGGCAGAGCCACAAGGCCGGAAGGGAAGAGGATGAGGGTGAGGTGGTCCTCAGGGTCCTGCCACACCCGGCTCACCCTGCTGCCTGGCACCCCTGCCTTCGCCTCACTTGCCCTGGCTCTTGCCACTGCTCCTGCTCCAGGGCCTTTGCTCTCGCTGTCCCCTCTGCCTGAAGGGCTCCTTCCCCAGACACCCAAACCGCACTCCCCCTCGTGTCCCGCAGGTCTTTGCTGAAATCCCGGGCAGTCGACCTGTCTAAGGCAGTCTTCCCTCCCTTGGTCCCTGCTCTGCATTGCTCTGTAACAGAAAGCGCTGTCTGATGTGCTGTGCATTTTGATTGACTGTTTCTTGTGTGTCTTCCTGTCGGAACAAGAGCTCCAGGAAGTCGGGACCTTTCCTCTCTTGTCTACCCCTGTATCCTGATGCCCAGGCCAGGTAGATGTTAGAGCTGAGGATGACAGTGCTGGCCCTTCCCAGGCCCCATTGGCTCAGGCCAGTGTCTGGAAGTGAGGTCGGTGCTGTAGGTGGGTTTGGGACCCTGGGAAGCTGTCTCCTAGAATTGCTTTTGACATGCCCAGAAAGGCCTCTGTACTTGTCACCAGATGCATCTGATCCCTGAGTCCCCAACATGGGTCTCTTCTCCTGGGCAGAGACTCTGCCCCTTCCCAGATGAGCTGCTTCTGTTCTCCGGCTCCAGGATGGCCAAGCGGAGGTGTGCAGGCACAGAGGCTGGAGGCGTGGAGCTGAGCGAGGCAGAGGCATGTCTACGAGCACACATGGCCAGCCTAGGGACACAGGAGACCTTGGGTCTAATCCCATCGGGCCTGGGCTCCTGGCCTTCTGCCCACAGAGACCGCCCCCCCACCCCCCCATCATCCCATCTTTTGGTCTCATCTGCCAGCAGATGGCATCATCCAGGCTCTCCAGAGGGAAAGGTTTCCTCCCCCAGCTTGGGCTGGAGTTCCAACTTCCAGGTGTTGATCTTTGTGACTCCAAGGCTGGAGCCAGGTGGGGATGGTGGGGCGGTCCCGTGGTAAGGTCCTTGTCCATCACCCAGTTGGTGCTAGGCCGAGTGGAAGTTGGCTGTAGTGTGCAGGGCTGAGGTTTCAGGTCTGACTGGGGTAGGCGGGGCCCCCACCTCACCAAGCAACAAAGCGTGGCGAGGTGGCTAGTTGGAGGGTGGTGTGCTGAGGGTTCCCATGGGCTCTGACTGCACTGGACAAAGTCAGCAGCTGGCTGAGTCCAGGAGCCAGACCCTTACAGGGCTCGGTGTCCACTGGGGTTCCTGGTGCTGTCCCCTGGCACAGCCTGACAAGCAGAGGGGCAAGCAGGGAGGGAAGGGCCTGGGTAGGCCTCCAGCTTAGTCACCTGCAGCACCCCTGCCCCGCTTTTTTGTAGGAAATGATTTCAACTTGCCACAAACTTGAAAAAAATAGAACAAAGAATCCAATATCCTTTGCACAATTCCTCCCGACTGTAACTTTACCTAACCACAGTAAACTGTATTACAACCATGAAATTAGCATTGACCTTTTCTGAATTTTACCAACTGTCCTGCTAATAACCCTTGTCTGAGTTCAGACCCCTCATCCCACTTAGTTGTCTCTCCTTCAGTCCAAGACAGCTCCTCAGTCTGTCTTTGACTTGAACAATCCTGACACTTTCTGAAAAGCACTGGCCCGTATTTTGGGTAGAAGGGCCCTCCTATGGGTTTGCTGGATCTTTCTTCACGATTACATTCAGGTTTTGCCTTTGGGGCTTTAATGTGGATATATGTCCCTCTCAGGAAGCCGTCCATATGTCCCTTTACTGGTGCTTTTTTCATTTTTATCGAGGCATCATTAACACACAAAGCAACACAGGACTTTCAAGTGCATCCTCTGATGTTGGTCGTGTGCACCTTCGGTCACCTGGTGAAGGGGTCTCCCAGGTTATTTCTTGAAAAATCACTGTATTCACTTTGCCGTTAGAGTCTGGGGCGGGTGGGAACTCTGCAACTCTGCCAAACTGACAAGCCCCGTCTGTTTCTCATTCTTTGCCCTCTGTCTAGCACCCCTAGCTTTTGTCTGCAGCAGCCACCGTGCCGGCTGCAGACGGCAGAGCGTGTTCCCGGCGTTCCTGGGAATTCCCGCCTCAGCAAGAGCGGTCCCTGCTCCACGGCTCAGCACCTTTGTCAAGGTTCCTCGCGCAGGATCAGCAAATGGAAAAGTGCCAGACACTTGCGCACACTTGTCTTTTTTCCCCTAGTGGTTACGTTTAATGCTTTTAAATGGAAAACGGGTGATGTCTCTATGTGTACGGTCTCGTCCTCACCGTGCACACGGGAGAGGCACCCTCTACTCCCAGTTCCCGGCGTCCTCCGCGCCTCCCCGTTCCCGGCGTCACCCGCGCTCCCCGTTCCCGGCGCCCCTCGCGGCCGCCGTCCTCCGCGCCACGAGCCCCGCCCCGGCGGCACCCGTTAGCGCGGCCGCGGCCTCAGCGCCTGGTCCCGCCCACGTGGCCGCGCCATTGGGCCGCGCGCTGTGGCCGGGAGCGCCGCGCGCCGCCGATTGGCTGCCTCTGCAGCCCGCTCTGCGGTTCCCCCAATGCGGGGCGGCCGCGCGCAGGATTGGCCGCGCGCGCCAAGGTCCGCCCTCCGCTCGCCCCGCGCGGCAGGCGGGTCCCGCCGACTAGAGAGCGCCCGCGCGGCCCTTCTGGAGGGCGGCGGCGGCGGCGGCGGCGGCGGCGGCGGCGGCGGCCGGGCAGTAGGGATCTCCGCTGCAGTTGGGCTGCGGGCAGCTCGCGCCGGCCGCGGGCGCCGGAGGTAGGTGCGGGGCGCGAGGGGCGCCCCGCGGCCGAGCGGGCGGGCGGGCGGCGCTGCGGCCTGCGTGAGGCGCGCCCTTCCCCTCCCTCCCTCCCGGGCCGAGGCCGCGGGCCGGGGTCGAGCGGGCGGGGGGCCGCGGGCGGGCCTGGCCTCTCCGAGTCCCGGCCTTTGTGAAGCATCATGGCCACGGGCCTCGGAGCGCGGGCGGGGGGCCCGCGGGGGCCGGGGTCTGGGCTGGAGCCGGGGGCGGGGGCGGGCCCCGGACCGGGGGGCGCCGCGCCGCGCCGGTCGCTTTCCGCCCGGGCAGACACCGGGGTGTGAGGAGGCCCCTCGTCCCGCGGGCCCGAAGCCGTAGATGGCTTTCAGGCGGGAAAGGTACCAACAGGGGCGGCGCTCGCCCAGGACCCTGCCGGGTGTAACACAGTTTGGGAAATCTGAGAAGTCGCCCGTCTTCACCAAATGCTCACGGACTGAGTGTCACGTAGGTGATCAGGATGTGGTTTTGTCGTAACAATGACCATGATAGAAATAAGTGGAAGGTGGCAACCTGTTGACAGTGGTACCTGTCAGGTGTCGTCCGATGGACTTGGGTTGCTCAGGGTAGGAACTTGATTTGTCGTTTGCATGCTTGCATGTACCTTGTTACCCGGTGCACGACAGTCCATTCTGGGGCTGGGGACTGTGCCAGGCCAACCGCTAGGCGGGGATCCTGTTTCCTGGCGGCGGTAGAGTGGGCCAAACCCTGCCACAGGCGGTCACCCACCAGAGGGAGTGAATGGCCAGTCGGCAGTGCCGCCTGTAAGTGCGGGATGTGAGGCCGATGGA